GAGCTCAGGGAATCTCGGAATCGCTGGCCTGGCTCGGCCACTGGCGAGCTCGGCCTGTGCGAATACTGTGCGTACCTGTGCGGGGCATGTGCGGGACGTGCAAGAATGCCGGGGCCGACGTTCGTCTCCGGGCGCCGGCGCATTCGCGTCCGCGCGCAAGCCGCGCGCGGACGCAGCGTTCGCTTCATTGCGCGGCCCCGACAGACGGGGCGCCCCGCTCACGCTCCGCACAGGCGCGGCTAGTGTCTCGGCCTTTTCCGCCTGAGACCCTCGCAACTCTGGGTTCCGAGATGCCCTGAACAGGTGGTCAGGCCACTCCTGCCTGAGACATCCTCGCAACTCTGGGTTCCGAGACGCCCTGGGCTGAGGTGGTCAGACCACTCTCGCCAGAGACATCCTCGCAACTCTGACGTCAGAGATCTCTTGCCCCATGGAGGTCAGGCCACTTTCGCCTAAGACATCCTCGCAACTCAGACCTCGGAGGTGTCCTGCCCCATGGCCCATGGTGGTCTGGTCACCTTGACCAGCGACATCCTCGCCACTCTGGTTTCCAAGATGCCCTGCCCCATGGTGGTCCTGCCACGCTTGCCTGAGACATCCTCGCAACTCTGGGTTGCGAAATGCCCCGAGCTCAGGTGTTCAGGCCACTATCGCCTGCGACATCTCTGCGGCATGTGCGGGCATGTGCGTCTACATGTGCGTCTATGCTTTCAGAGGTTTGCTTGGCCGTGCATTCGACTGTGCGTCCGACGGTGTGGCATGTGCGCGCATGTGCGGCAATGCTGTTGAGGCTTTTGTATATGTGCATGGGCATGTGCATGCGACTGTGCGGCATGTGCCTGCATGTGCGGCCCCTTCCGGACCGCAATTTCAAAGTGAGCACTATAGAAGTGAGCGCTATAGAAGTGAGTCCGGTGTATCTAATATGGTGGTCCTGCGCTGGAGCCATGTTTTTTTTGCGTGTCCAGGCCACCCATGGGGGTATCTAACATGGGCCTCCTGGGGCCTTCCTGGGGCCCGGAACGGATCTTTGAGAGTTTGTTTGTATTTGGTATCGATTCGTTCACTTCTTTGGCCTGCAGGCGCCTCTGGGCGTTCATGGGCCCTCCTGCACCCCAGACGACCGCAGGTAGGATATCCCCCTTGGGTGGGCTGGAACCATGTGTTTTTACGTGTGCAGGTCATTAGGGGGGCATCTACCATGGTGATCCCGAGCTGGAAACACGTGTTTTTACGTGTCCAGGCCGCCCAGGAGGGTATCTAACATGGTGGTCCCGCGCTAGAGCCACGTGTTTTTACTTGTCCAGGCCACCCAGGGGAGTATCACACATGGTAGTTCTGCGCTGGAACCATGTGTTTTCACGTGTCCAGGCCGCCCAGAGGGGTACTAACACGGTGGTCCTGCGCTGGATCCATGCGTTTTTTCGTGTTCAGGCCACCCAGGGGGGTACCTAACACGGTGGTCCCGAGCTGGAGCTACGTAGGTGTTTTCATACGTCCAGGCCACCCAGGGGGGTATCTAACATGGTGGTCCATGGTGGCCCCGTTTTGGAACCACGTTTTTTCATGTGTCCAGGCCACCCAAGGGGGTATCTAACACGGCAGTCCTTGCTGGAACCACGTGTTTTTACCTGTCCAGGCCACCCAGGAGGGGTATGTAACATGGTGGTCTTGCGCTGGAACCGCGTGTTTTCACGTGAACCGTCACCCCTGGCACGTCGCGCGGCGCGCCCCCAGCCGCGTCCCGTGGCACATCCAATAGCACGTTCCGTAGCGCGTCCCCTTGGCACGTCCCGCGGTGCGTCCCCATGGCACGTCCCTTGGCACGTCGCCTGGCGCGTCCCCTGGGACGTTCCGCGGGGCGTCCTCCTGGCATGTCCCCCTGTCAATTAGCTCTAGGACAGCTGCTATGTGCTCGGGCAGCTCGAGCTTAAGATCCAGATCAGTTCGGTCAGGACTCGGACGCAAAGGAGGACTCGATCCAGAATGCCATAGAGCACAATCGCGGCATGGCACGTCGCAATTCAGCACGGCCCAGCACAGCACAGCCCTCGGCACAGTACATCAAGATCGATTCACTCAGCATTGCAACCTGGCACGTTTCCTGGCACGTTCCGTGGCGCGTCCCGTGGCGAGTCCCCCTGGCATATCGCGCGGCACGTCCCCTGGCACGTCCCGTGGCACGTCTATTGGCACCTTCCGTAGCGCGTCCCCTTGGCACGTCCCGCGGTGCGCCCCCATGGCACGTCCCTTGGCACGTCCCCTGGCGCGTCACTTGCGACGTTCTGCGGCGCGTTCTCCTGGCATGTCCCCCTTTCAATTAGCCCTGGGGCAGCTACTATGTGGTTCGGCATCTCGAGCTTAAGATACAGATCAGGTCGGTCAGGACTCGGACGCAAAGGAAGACTCGATACACAGCGCTGTAGAGCACAGTCGCGGCATGGCATATCGCAATTTAGCACGGCGCAGCATAGCACGGCCCTCGGCACGGTACATCAAG